TTGACAACAACAAAGGAGAGCGTTGTAACCCATCCGAGTCCAATCGCTATGTTTGCACTATTCTACTTCTCACTAGAGTACAACTCGATAAAACATTGAGATAACTTAGGCATAAGGTCCTTAGGCATAAGCTCCCAAATTAATCAGGGAGATCTCATGAGAGAGAGAAAACCCCTAATGAAGACAATTCTACCTTATTATTCATCTTTCCTAGCTATCGAGGGGGATAAAAGAAGAGGCGGTGGCAAGAAAAAAAAGAGCAAGAGAAAATGAGAGGAGTCAAGGGAGAGGGAGAGGAGGGGGACATCTAGGACTGCTTAAATTAGTTTCAAATAATTCAAACTATTCACATGGAGTTTTATATAGGATTAGATTTTTCACAATGTTTGATTATTTTTATTAGAGAATAATACATATTAGTCTCGATTTCATGAAGTTCTAATTAAAAAACTCAAGAATCCAATAAATATTTTTTAAAAAATTGATTGTTGGATCAAATGATCTATTTACGTAGATTACGTATGTCAATTTTCAAGTAATTTAATATCTATAATCATTTTATCAAGAAAATATATTTTCCAACACATATTTAATGGTGTTAAATTTTTGGATAATCAATTAACTAGTTAGATAATATTCAATCAATCTAAAAATTGACATACAAAATCTACATGCATACATAGTAACTAAGAAGAAAGCAAGACAAGTACAGGATCAAATAACATGATTTTCCTTGGATTTATGTGTTTGTAATTCAATTATTTTACATGTGGGGAGAATTCAAAGTTATATTACTAATTGGATGGAGTATCTCTTGTACTCTTATTTAATAAAAATTTTATTTTATTGGTTGATAAAAGAAAAATGACTTATATGAATAGAATGTTAAATCTAATAATTAGTTTTCTAAAATATTTATTAGAGAATGGTGTGGCGAATTTATGGAAACATGTGTTGAGGGATAAATACTATGGGGGTAAGGAGGTGGTAGATATCACTGCAGTGGACACTTGGCAGCTGTCCAAGATTTGGGGTGACGTTATTCATATAGGAGGGATTTCTGAGAGACTACGGAATATGCTAGTGAGAGGGTTTAAGTGGGAGGTGAGTGATGGTTGAAGGGTGGGCTTCTGGAGGGATAGTTGGGTGGGAGATAAACCTTTACGCGACTTATGTCCTAGATTATATGCATTGAGTATGAACTGAGAGGGTATGGTTAGTGAGATGGGGGATTGGGAAAGGGATAGCTGGTGTTGGAGTATTGCATGGAGGAGGGAAAGAATGGGCAGGGAGAGGGATGAAGAGGAGTTGTTAATGAAGTTGCTAGGGAAAGGTTTGAATAAAGATTGGTGGGGATGATGGTTGGAGATGGGTGCATGATTCTGAAGGAAATTATGTAGTGAAGAAAGCTTATGAGTTCTTAGCTCCTTTGGAGTTTGTTTTGCAGGGCCAACTTTGTAGATTGGTTTGGTGCAACTTAGTGCCATCCAAGGTATCTTTTTTTGGGTGGCAATTATGTCTTGATAGACTTCCAACAAAAGGGAACTTATACAAAAGAGGGGTAGATATGCAAGAAGGAAGTTTAATGTGTAGTTTTTGCAATGAGGCAATGGAGGAAATAGATAATTTATTTTGTATATGTAAGGAAGTATAGTTACTATGGGCAAAGGTGCTACATTGGTGGGGGGTGGAATTTGTGTTACCAAATTCAGTGGCAGCCATAGCTGAATTTTTCTGGTCTAGTTTTGGTAGGTTGGTTGGGAAAGAGATAGGTGCTTGTATGTTTCTAATAGTTTCTTGGTATTTGTGGTATTGGAGAAATGCTGTTGTGTTTCAAAATAATGGGAGCTTCAAGGAGAAATTGTTGGATATGGTTCAAATCAAGTCCTTTTCTTAGATTAAATCTAAGAATACTGGCGCCATGTTCTCCTTTCATGAATGGACGGGTGACCCAGTTGCTTGTGCATTGGAGGTGAGGAGGCATAGAAAGGAACTAAAGAGGTATTTGAAGCTGAAACAGGATCATACATGATCGACAGTGGGGGCTTGATTGCTTTTGGCTGATGTGTTTTTATTAGAAATGATGTCAGTTTTACTAGGTCTTTATTATGATGGTTTAGTTTTTTATTATGTAAATGGGTTGGAGTACCCATTGTACTCCTATTAATAAATTATTTTAATTTACTGATAAAAAAAAAATTATTAGAGAATGGTGTTGATTTGGACTCCATGAAGTTGAGATTGGTAACAGTCTTCTAATTACACTAATCACTTTTTTATTATCATTAAAACCTTGTGTTGAACTTTAGCAAAGGAGATTTCGTATAGATAACGCTATAAACTTTGAAACTTTTATTGGTTAAGGATACTAACTTTTTTGCGTATTAATTAAGAAAGTAAATTTTCAAAAATTACTAATTAAAAGTATCAACTCTTCAAGTTTTTACATACAATCTAAGTATTTATTGAAAGTGAACGTATCAAATAGCATACGGAATCCACTTAGTAGGCCCCATAATTGTTACCAACTTGTTTGGTGTATACTTTGTCACCGTTGATGTGGACAAAAACAATGAGAAAAAAAAGTGGACGATACGCCTATAATATTTTTTAATATAATTTTTCTATATACTTGTCATATATCATAAAATATTTGGGTTAAATAGAATGAAAGGAAAAAAAAAGGGAGAGAGAAGTTTTTTAATCAATTAAATGGTAATGTTTTTAAAATATTATACTTTGAATGGTTAAAAAGTCTTTCTTTTTCCTTTCCTCCCCTCCTCTCTTTTTTTTTTTTTTTTAAATCCAAACTTATGATAAATAAATAAATATATACAATATTATAAGTTTTAATACAATAAGTGAATCAATCATTAAATAACATGTAAGATTATGTAAAAAAAATTATATATGAAAATTGTTTCTCAATTATTTTCTTTAAAAAATACATCACGACAATGTGGAACCCACCGAATAGTTTTCATTTCATTTGCTATATCAGTATTCACTTCTAATTAATCCTTAAACACTAAATTCGAAAAGTTGTTTATCCTTGATTAGTAACTCTTGAAAATTTCCATGCTTAATTAGTAAAAACTTCAAAGTTCAGAACCTTATCCTCATGGATTCTCTGAAAGGGAAGGAATTACTGAATTTGTCATTGCCTTTCTCGGTTTTATGCAGGGGACATTTGATTCCCTGGCCTTCTAAAGTCAATCCCCTTTAACTCAACCACAAATTAGAAGTGTTGTATGTGCTCCATCCGATGTAGATGTAACAGCTTGCCTGCATGGCCGACCCCATCGTACCTAACATAATTAAACTCACTCGTTTTGGCAGTAATTGCTAACTAGTTGTCGTAATTAATACAGGGGAACGGGAGAATAAAAGTATGTCTGGATTGAAAAAAATAAAAAGATAAAAAAAATTGATTTTTTTATTTAATTATTAAAAATTTTGAAGGAAATGGGAGGGAGAATCTACTTTTATTATTATTTTTATTTTCATTTAAATTTTTAATATGTCCAAATGAAAAGAGGATAGGGTAAGGATATATTTTTTTATTTCACTCTCCTTTTCTTTTTCTTTCATTTTTTTCGAACCAAACATGACTTAAAGGATCTCAAAAGTCTTGGCCAACAACCATTGTTTCAATGGAAAGCTGTCACCGCGCTTCGCTCTAATGGGACAACAATGTTGGATCTAAGAGAGATAGCTTCGATTAATCATCACCCTCTCAATTAGTAAAAATATATTGGTAAATGATTTGAAACCAATCTTGGTAACAACGGAGGCCGTGAATTTCTCCACTTCACCTCCTAGGTAATTGTGTACTAATTGGCTATTTCCACTCTTTAAAAACCAATGGTAAAGTCAATAGTGGAAGATAAAAATGACTACAAATAAAGAATACCTATAAATAAATAGGTACTTGCATCCCCTTTTTTAGCAAACTTTAGTTTGTTCCAGGAGAACTAGTTGATGAATTGGAAATGCAAGATAAAAAACATTGACGATGATCAAGATCAATGGGAAGGATAAACATATTCGAGAATTTTATTTTTAAGACCCCAAATTTCAATTCGTGCAGTGTTGAGAGATAAGAATCACTAATTAAGTCGCTTAATTAATTAATTAAGGGCAGTTTTAATTAAAATTAAGAGGAGCCAGCATATATATATATATATATATATACACACACGTCTTTTCAGTGTTCAGGCTCACTGCTTTCTCTTATTCTGGTTGTCCTCCTCATGCTGGTTTTGTGTCTCTCTAGTATGGAATCTGTTGTTGCATGCCGCTTATGGGAAATGGGAAAAGGCAATGCAAAGCAAACCATCTCCGGAGAATCTTTTAAAGCCATCTCTAGATGTTGACTTCCACCCGACCCCAAAAATTGAAATCAAATTTGTTGGTCTCTATATCTGCTCGTCTATGTCACGTGTGTGGACCAATTTTTGTGAAAAATAATTTAACCAGTATCGTGGTGATCCTTCTAAAACTGGGAACCTGAATTAACACTAATCTTAACAGAACTGTGGGTGATTTCCTGTAAAATGTTCTTGAAATTAAAACAAACAACTTCTGAACGTGAAGTCCATCATTTAGCTAGTTCGAAATCGAGAAATAAGATCACGATATACTGATCATATATTTATTTTATGATCTTCTTCGCAATTGACTCCTTCGGCCATATAACTTACATCCTTCGGTATTCCCAGCAACTTCTGGCCATATTGAACTAATTAATATCATTTTATAAACCGACAAACCATGTGACACAAAGATAATTAGAAACAGGAGACTTAATAATTAATCATTAATTGTAATGAAGAAAGGTACCAAAGTGCCCAAGAAAAATTATTATTGCTGTTAGAAAATGTTTATCATATGATTAAACTATAGTTTAATTTGATAGGGCTTCTAGAGATTTAAGTTGAAAATGGTAGACATCTTGATTAAGTAAATATAATTGTTGACAATGCCAACCCATCTAAGAAATTAACTTCATCACTTTATTTAATTATGTTTTTAATCACATAACCACTAATATAATAATAGCCTTCTGACTTTAGGAACTAATTAAAGTATATATATGATTATTATATATATAATAAGGGGGTCGATTCCGTTATGCCCCAGCACCATTCATCACCACGTGGCCTAATGAGTCGGATGATGACATGGATGATGATGATCTGGTGAAATTCCACAGCTCTATTTCACTGTTGTACTCTTGAGAATTTCCGTGGTTTGATGATGATGATCCAACGGTTGGTAATTGGAGTTCATGATGATCGGTGGGGCCGAAGTAGGACATGCTGGGGTCGGTACTGAAGCTGACCAGTTGCCTTGAACTCTCTGTCTGGCCGTTCAGTTGGGAGGCCACCAAACGGTCCAGCACGGCCCAATTGGTGAGACCCGAGTCGATGTGGTAAGCCAAGTTGGGATCGTTACTCACCTGGTTCGAGCTTGGACCGACGTCATTGTGGTCTGCAATCACTGGCCGGTAACAGTTCTGGCTGCGGGTGGAGTTGGGGCTCTCGAGGCTTGGAAGTTTCATGAAACTTCCATCGTGGTATCCAGCTGTATCAATTGTCCGGAGGAATCTCGGCATAGTGTTGTTTTCATCGGAATAATCTTCTTTGCAAACTCTTCCCATGTATTGAAACACTTGCTCTAGTGCTCCTTCGTTGCATGAACTCAACATCTGGCTCCCGGTTTCTGCAGTAATAATAGACGAACGCATCGGACTGTCTAGGGTTTTGTGGAAATTTTTCTTCTTGAAGATACGACAAACCACCCATCCTTCTTCTTGGTTTCCTTCCCCAACAATCGTGTTCGAGACCGAGACAGAGACCTAAATTAGAAAGCAAGCATAATGATATATTAGAACTATAATTCTTATGGTAATACACAAGATTTAGATATATGTAATGAATTAATGATAATTCGATATATATATATATATATAAAACATGGTAAAGATTTAGAAATGGCTTACATTGGAGTCAACGGTGTTATCATCTAGTCTATATTCGTGCATGATCCAATCGGACTTTTGTCCATGAGGAGCTCTTCCTTTGTAAAACACCAAAGTTTTCCTCATTCCAATGCGCCTGCCGTTGCTATAGATGACCTTGTCACGGCCGGTGGCCTTCCAGAACCCAGCGGCGGTGGCACGATTCGTGCGAGTCCCTGTTGGATACTTCTTGTCTTTGTGGCTGAAGAAGTACCAATCATTCTGTGGAGTTGTTCCAATTTTGCACCTCTCTGCAAAACCAAAGCCGATGATGAGCACGTATGTGACAGACAATAACTAAGTCCTAATTAACTTCATCACAAATGACAAAAAAAAAAAAAGAAAAGAAAAGTGAAATCATTAATTACCTTGGATATCCCATGGCTCGAGCTTATTAAGATCAACATCACGAATGACATCTAAATCGATCTTCTCGTAAGAGACCTTCTTTCTCAAGTAATACTGGAGGAGCTCCTCTTCAGTAGGATGAAATCGGAATCCGGGAGGGACTTGGGATTGCCCATTCACAGATATACTCATGTTTTCTGGCATTTAAGAGAAACGAGAAAAGGGAAGAGATTGTGAACCAAAATATAGAAAAGGCCTAGAGACAGTGTGTGTGTGTGCAATATTAATATATAAGTACCAAATTGAGTTTGTTTTGTAGAGAGGAATTGAGCTAACGTTTATATATACAAAATATATTTGGAGGACTTAAAAGCACCAAACCGGCAAGCTCCTATATATATTCCTATACGTACGTGAGAAAAAGGACATTGTGCTTCGAGAAGTGCTACTTAGCTACCTAAAGGGATTGAGAAAGTAGATAGATTTTGGAAATTTTTAAGTAGGGCCCAAAATGGACGTTGTTGTGGGCAACAAGAGTGCGGGGGGCATGCCCCCATCAAAACTATGACCCTCGACCTTAAATTTGAATAGAAAAGCAGCCCTTAAACCAACCCACGACATTCTTTTCTTTCTCTCTCTCCCTTAGCTCCTACAACCACCGCAACAAGAGAGCGATGATGGAATTGGCTTTTTGGGGAGGAAAGTTAAAAAATTTTATTGTGATATAATGTGGACACCGGACTTAATTTCTAAATTATGTCATGCGTGGCTATTGACTACACTTCATAGAGGACACGAATCGTCTTTGGATTTATTTATAATATATGAATAATTAACATCAGTTGAATATATATCATTGGTAGCTTGTTATGTCAAAGCGGAAAGTTGGCACTAAAGTTTTGGCGCTTTTCTAAAGCTAAGAAAATAATTGGTGCTATTCGCTTGGTACAGTTTTTTTTGACTTTTTCTCCATATTAAGATTTTAAGTAATGATTTCTAAAATCAAACTTTTAAATTAAATTTTGAGGCGAAACTTTTTTAATTATTAGTTATGTGAATTCATATAAGACTTATATTATAGATCAATAATAATCTTAAATTTATTCTAAATCTTAATCCTAGTGATTGGTCCTAACTACCACCATTATCCTAAGATTTTAGGGATAGTTTATATTTCTACACAAAGACAAAAATTGAATTTTAGTGATAAGATAGATGATTAGAGATAAATAACAAATATTAGAAAAAATGTTTATCATAAGGACCATTAAAAAGTTATCCAATAAAAGAGATTAAAATAATTTATTTTTAAAATAGAATAATGAGACTAGTTTGATAGTTTTTAATAGTATTTCATTGAAATAATATAATTTTAAAGATTTTTTTAAATTTTTTTATTTTTTAGAAGCTTGTTGATAGATACTAACTCTTCTTTTATTTTTTTGGAAG